AGCTAGATCTCATGTACCTTCTTTACTTGATGATACTTAAGGAACTGGCTGAATGGGATGGTTCAGATGGCAGGGAATCCTAGTGAGATGATGGGAAGTGAAGCCATAAGGGGCAGTTGGGCTTGTTGGAGTTGATTTTGATTTGGTGTTGAGACTATAACGTCTTAAAAATGCAGGTTCCTAGGTTCTAAAGCTTTCATCAGTTCCACTGCTGATGGAACAACATTTCCAGTTTGACAGAATAAATGGCATAAAAACTGTATTTTCAGAAAAGCATTTAAAGTCTCATTTTTTCTTTTTAATTTTTAATTCTAAGCTGTAATAAAACAATATCCTATTTAAATAGAATGTAAAGACTGTGTAACCATAGATTTGAGATTAATCCATTGACCTCAATGAAGTAAAAATTGCAACCAAAGCTGATGTTGGTTTTGTGCAATTTTCCACCAGATGAAGTTTTGTGCACTTCAGTGGTTTGCTGAAAATCTTAACAATTCAGTTTATGTAACTCCTGCTGTTGCCAGTTACCTTAGTATTTGAACACTTCTAAGTTTGTTTGAAAGACTGGGTTCTTTTAAACAGTTCTTTTGTTACAGTTTTTTTTTGTGTGACCTAACTGTTTCTTTTCTCTTGTTTCTTTTCTCTTATCAAAATGCTAGACATACACAAGCACTAGCAACAACTCCATGTCAGGCTCCTTGAAGCGGTTGGAAGATACCACAGCTCGATTTACAAATGCAAATTTCCAGGAAGTTTCTACACACGTTTCAAGTGGAAAAGATTCTTCAGAGGCTAGAGGGTCAGAGAGCAAAGGGAAGAAATCTGCAGGTCATAGCTCAGGTCAGAGGGGAAGAAAGCCTGGTGCTGGAAGAAATCCAGGAACAACTGTGACTGCAGCTAGCCCTTTTCAGCAAGGTATTAATTGTTACGCTGTAACATGACTTCTGCTTTGACATGAATTGGAAATCTTGCATATTTAAAACTTGAAAAGTAGCTCATCCTTCATCCTCCATAATGAGAATGTTGTTTCACTTTGGGGAAAAACAACTTCTTTCAGGGAAAAAAAAGTTCAACATGAAAAAGAAGGATGTGCATCTTTAAAGGGCAGAATTGATGCTTTTGTTTAGACTGTTAAGGTATTGTCTTTACCTGCTAAAACCAGAAGTTTCTTTATGTGCTGAAAAGTTAGTCTGGGGTAAAATTTAATACATGAATTTGAGTCTAGGGGTCTTTCTTAGCTCTTTAAGGGAATAATACTAATGTTTTTTAGTTAGTGCATATTAGAACAAAACTGGACTACGTAATGTATAGGATACAGTGGCCCCCAAATAATTTTTCAAGATGCAGACATTTAAAATGTACCATTTTCTTCAAAGTGAAAGACCTTTTTGCTTTTATTTTTTTGTCATTGAAGCAGAAGATGATCACATGAAAAGTAATGACGTTTTGAATGTGCTAAAACCCACTAAATGCACTGTTGACACTTCTAAAAAACTAATTTTATTATGGCCTCTTTGTCAGAGTTGAAGACAGATAAAAAGATTTTAAAAGTCTATTTTTTATTATGTAACTAATAAAACATGTTATTTTGAAACACAATAAACTAGACCTTCTATAAAGTAATTGGTTTTCTATAATTTTCACTGTGGCGTGTAGTAGCTGACTGTCCTTTCTGCTTTATGATGCTGCTCTTTCTTTGAGTTTATGCAGTGAGCCCTTTTAAATTTGTCTAGGACTCTTTCAATATTTCAGGCTTTTCTACTTGAAAAAACTGAAGTGTTTTTTTTTGTTTAAATTCTCAAAACTTTGAAAATTGCCTTCTGGAATCCTGCATTTAAAGAAAAATCTTGCTAGCTGCAGATGCAAAATAGATCTTTATGTGCATGTATTTTATTTAAAGCTGCATTAAGTGAAGTTGGTGTAACTTATTTAAAATACAAACCAATATTTTTATGATTTTTAAATTGCTGTATTAATGTAAATTATATTTTAAATGGAATTCTTAATAGTGTTTAATTGAATACTAATGATAAAACAGTAATTTTTAAAGGACTTTTTTTATACTTAATGTCATGTTTAGGAGCATTTTCTTGGCGGGATAGTCACCATCAGTCTGAGTTCTACAAAACGGTACCCACATGCATCCACCCATATAAAGTTACTGAATTTCAGTGAAAGTAGATGTTTGTATTTCTTAAGTGTGCTCCATTTTCTGCCTTGCATGTGCTAACACAGTGATGAAATGACTGCCTTCCAAACATTACAGAAGCAATATAATTCTATTACACAAAAGATCTTTATGGTTCTCTGACAGTGCTAAAGAAATCCTAAAATGCCAATTTTATACACTTTTCTCCACTTCCTCTCCTGTCGTTTTGAAAAATACCTCTTCTGTGGAACACCTCCTCAGCCAGGGCAAATTAAGTGGAATTGCTCTTCCCTTGACCTGTGTCAGACCCTTGGTTTAGGTAGAATGGTAAGGAAGATCGTAGGCATAGTGTAGAGGTGATCATAGCATATTTCTACCAGCTGCCTTCTTTTTATATACGTGTATGTTTAAAAAAAAAATTGCTCTCACTTGCACCAAGTGTTTGTTGTAGCCTCAAAACACGAGGGATGTCAAAGTTGCCAAGCAGCAAAGTTGTTACTCTCCTTTTATTTGTTTTCATCTTGTTTGTGCCCCAAATTCAAATCTGAATCTCAGATAGGAATCTGAGAATCGGATCCAGCAGAGTGAAGGTCAGCAGGAGAAGCAATGACTTATCTCAAAAATAAATTCTTTAACTCTCGGTAACACTTTTCATAAAGTCCTTGCACTTTAAATTTTTGGATTCTAAGCTATTAATCTTTCCAATCAATTTTCATCAACTACAGGGAAAAAAAAACCAAAACAAACCAAAACTTTTTCTTTACTTTCTTTTTTAGGAAGCTTTTTGGGCACTCCTGGGAGCATAAAGTCATCTTCTGGAAGTTCAGTTCAATCTCCCCAGGATTTTTTGAGTTTTACAGACACGGATCTGCGAAGTGACAGTTTCACGCATTCTCAACAGGCTTCGTCAACCAAAGATGTACATAAAGGAGAGACTGGGAGTCAAGAGGGGGGTGTCAATTGTTTCACTTCCTTAATTGGTCTCCCTTCATCATCAGCTGTTTCCCAATCTAAAAACTTTGACAGTTCACCTGGAGACATAAGTAATTCAAGCCTTACTTCTACAGCATACAAACGAGCTCAAACTTCTGGAATAGAAGAAGAAACTGTAACAGAGAAGAAACGGAAAGGAAATAAGCAAAGTAAACATGGGCCTGGTAGACCCAAAGGAAATAAAAGTCAAGAAAGTATTTCCCATCTTTCAGTTTCTTCTGCTTCCCCGACTTCATCTGTGGCATCTGCTGCAGGAAGCGTGACAAGCTCTGGTCTTCAAAAATCTCCAACTTTGCTCAGGAATGGAAGTTTACAAAGTCTTAGTGTTGGCTCATCTCCAGTGGGTTCAGGTAGGCATTTATTGAGTTTGTTTTCTTACCTCCAAATATGTCTTTATTATTTTAGCCATAATTCTGAGTACGTTTTTCAAGAACAGAGTATCATTTAAAGTATCTCAAAAGTCACATTGAGGGAAAAAAGTGAAAATTAGAATATGACTGTTGGAAGAGTAAGTTTTGTTCCATGTATAGGTACTGCTGTGCTGTAGGTGGCTGTAGTAGATTGACCTGTGTATTCACCTGTATGCTATAAAAAAATGCAGGTTTTGAGGCTGTAGGGGGGAAAAATAAGTTGCATGAAAATAGGTTCTTTGGAAATTACATGTGACAGGTTTAGCTAAAATAAGTGATAATTTATACAGACTATATTGTCTGTATGTTGTGTTAGATAGAGAAAACAAAATCAGTACTCAAGCATGTCAGCTGTGCTGAGTATGCCCCTTAATTATTTTTTCCCAATTTAGCTTAACTAAAAATCAAAATGTCTATATGGAGAATTACCGGTTTAAACATGTAAAAGGATATTCTGAATTTAGACCCCTGTGCAACCAGATGACATTTTCATATTCCTGGGTGCTTTTTAGCAATTGAAATTGGCTGGTTTGTTCTTCCTCTGTTCTAAATGTTATGTGCATCTGGGGCTGTGAGAAGCTTTCTGTTCCCAGTAAACCTGTGTGTGGAATGACCTTGCGGGATACTGTATCTACCAAAGTCTCTGTTGCTTTGAAGTTTCTTTCAAGGCCTTTGTTTTTGGATTAAAAAATAGCAAACTATCTGATATGTTGTTTTCACAACTTTGAAATTTTGTCCTCTTCGTTGTTCTAGCTAGTAAATTTTTTGCTTAATTTTTCTTTTTTTTGGGGGGGGGGGGGGGGGGGGTGGGAATGGAACTTGAATATTTGGTTGTGGGTAGGGTTTTATGCTTTTATATTGTATAATTTCACTGTATAAGCAAGAGATACTTTAAAAAACCACATACTTCAAGAAACAAAAAACTTCATATTTGCTTCAGAAAAAGGGAGGTACTTAAAAACTTGATCTCAGAACCACATTGGTTTAAATCTTTGTTAGATGTAGGCAAATGATGATTTTTATTATGGGTAATAATGTCAATAGCAGTGGCAACTATATTAAAAAAATATTTTTCCTGCCTTGAAATCAGTAGGGAGAAATCGTATGTGACAAAACTTACTAGTTCACTGTCCACCTTTTTCATTAAAATGCATTTTTAAAAACATGTTAACCTAGTTTCTGTTATGGACAGAGATCATCCAACAGATTTAGATCAGTGTTCTGATTATTTTAGTATGAACTTTCTTATTCCTTTATAATCCCTTTGAGGTGGATTATGTACTGCTGTAGTTGGGGTAACAGATAGAAGTACAAGATCTTGGTTTGAAGTAAAAGACCCGTGTTTCCTACCTTATATTTGTTTTGGAATATTCTGGTCTTGTCAGCTCCTAGAACAGGCCTTTCCCTGGCGAGGTCTATCCTTACTTCCTTTGTCCTCTTTATTATATCTCACTCTTCCAGCTATAAAAGGCCAGTGATAATGTTAAACTCCTTTTGTAAAAAGCTCTGAAATACATGGGTGGAAATACCGGGTAGGTTTTATTACCTTTTTCGTGATATTCAGCCTATAATTTCACCTCTGTTAAGCATACTTAAATTCTTGCTAGCCAGCATTAGACCTGTCCTTTAAAACAGTGGTATTTTCTGAAGGTGCCAAAGAATATGAATAAAAACAAACAAACCAACCATAAACAAAATCACCCCAACAAGACCCAGTAAACGAAAGATACAAAACCAGGTGGGTTGTCTTTGTCTTCAAGCATGAGCTCTAAATTAATCCACAAACTTCTGCTTGAGTCTGAGCATATTGTTTTGATGTGCTCTTCTCCCTCATTTCCCCTCTTTCTTAAGGTTGTAGCGCGTCTTTCCTCACTTCATCATAAGCATTTGCTGGGTTTAGCAGTCCATTTACAACTTTGTTACAATGAGGAAGGGCATATGAGTATTATCAGTATTATCAGAAACATAACCTTTGCTCAGGTGTGATATGCTGATGTTTCTCTTTGAAATGTCTCTATATTGTCCAGTAACAAAATCTGACAAGTGAATCTAAATGATTTGACCCAGAACCCCAAATAAGATTTTGTGCATGTAAATGTAGTAAGAGCAAATGCAGGGGAAGTCAACCCAAAAAGTTTTATCTGACTCTTACTTGGAATCACCTTGTTACTTCAAACAAATAGACTCAGGAATGAGTTAGGCCATACTAAACAAAGCTTTTGAGGCACTTTTTCAAGGATCTCCTCATATTTTTTTTTAATAACCTTCTTAACTGCAGCTGTCTTAAGCTACCATTCTTCTTCCATTTTCTTAAGAGTACTTGTTGAGATCCATAAAAATTATGAAAATCATTACAGACGTATGATAATCCTGTTCACAGTTAATGTTCAAATTAGATGTAATGTGAAGGAAAGCTTATTTTAAAAGGTAATGCAGATTCATCATGTGCTATTTAAACATTAAATGTCTTCCATCAAACTTTTATTCAGATAAGCGCATTCAGCTCATTCTGTGAAAATATTGGTCCTTTCCAAACTTTTTTCCAGTCCACAGAACTTCTGTTTTCCTGCTTAATAAGAACAGAGATGTACCATGAATAGTACAAGGCCATGTAATTAAAAGCTGTTACAGTGCATACACTCAGGTTGTATTACAGTTGCTATGCAACTGATCTGTTGCTTTCAAAAGTTTGAGCACTTGAATGTTCAATCTTAATGCTTTTTATAATTTTTTCTGAAATATATTTATGATCTGATAGGAAACACTGTATGCATTACTTTAACAGTGTACTCAAAGGAATGAAAAGTAATTTTAAAAAAATGAAATAAAACTTAGTTGGTGGGGTGATAAGTAATTTTAAATTAACATTTTTCTAGTACATCTGTTCCTGTTAAAAAAAAAAAAACAAAACACTTCTTTAGCCAGTAACAGCTTATTTACAAACCGTAGTTATCTTTCTGCTGGAAATTCACAAGCACTGCAAGTTTGTTGTCTAAGAAGACATAACTCAGTTGTCAGTTGGAGTTATATAAAGCTGATACTGGTTCCCCAAAATGGGACTGGTCTTTGGAGTGATTTCAGGATCCGAATTTTTTAATGGAGGAGGGTTTCATCTGAACTCCACAATTTTAGAGAGCTATTTAACTTTTTAAAAGTCACACTATTTGTATTCTCAGGATTAAGTTCATTCTCAGCATCCTTCTAGGGAATAATACTTAAAGATTTCTAGTCTGAAGTATTGTAAAGCAGTGATCCCTTCTGCTGACAATTCCCCACTCCACCC